TACCCTCATAAGGTGTGAATACCCTCATAAGGTGTGAATAGTTTTGCAAGGCGCTGCATCTCCCAGCAGCTCTGAGCTGAGAGAACTCCAACTCCCTCCTCCAGTCTCTCCACATCAGAGCTGTCAGCTCGCAGTAGGCATGAGTTCACAGCAGGCCCCTTTCATGGTCAAGATAAATGAGACGATGTCAAGCATCATCCATGCACAGACTATTAGTTGTACTCACAAAGCATAGTGTTTGAGAGATTTGAAGTACATTACGGTCTATTTGCAGTGAGAGGGTTTGCCGTACCTTTACTCCATCTTCAAACAGCTCTTCAAAAGTGAAATGATTTTTGATGAGGTGGAAAATTTCCTATTTCTGACTTTTTCTCTTGGATATTTGCAGCTTGAGCATAATTCAGAGACCTTGTACCCCATTTGATGGCAAATGAGCAACAGAGATGAACCGAAATTTTTAAGATGGAAACGATATTAAGTTCCAGATCTTTACCTTTTTTTCCCCCCCTACTTTTGCTTTGTATCACACAGCTCCTTTTTCAGAAGCAGGTGTCTCTCCGTCTCAAATAAGGATCCTACACAAAAGAATCTCCTGCTTTAATTAAACAGCTTGTAGGTTATGTTCCCTGGCAATTTCTTTTTTTTTCCCTGACTTGAATCAATAGCATATGTATGAAAAAGGGATTGCGGGAGGGCAGGTACAGCTACTTCAAAAACTCTTCAGAAAGAGTGTGAAATCTTAATTAAGCTGGTGTGTCTGGGAATCGGTTGCCCCCTCCAAGCCTCTAAAAGGCGGGAGTCGCATCGTTCCCGGCTCCCTGGGCGCACGCCGGGCACACACACCCCCCGCCACACTATGCCGAGCCAACTCCCATTTTCTCAGCAAATGACATTAGATTAGCTATTTTGTATTTACTCCCTATGAGGTACGGCAGTGAAAATCAATAGACTTTAAACACCTCTATTGAGGTTGATTTTCCCCCTTAGTGGGCGCAGAACTGGAGTGCAGTAATGGCTTTTTTCATGCTGTAATTTATTTTCATTGTTGGATGTCTTATCTGGTGTCCCCTCTGTTTCTCCTTCTGCTTTATTTTGTCTTTTCTCAGCATACAGCACCTTTTACATCGTGGGGCTCATACTGTCAATGCAGGTCCCTTTTGTCGGCTTCCAGCCAATCAGGACCAGCGAACACATGGCTGCTGCAGGTAAGATCCTCCCTCTTTAGAAGCAGGGATGTTATGCAGCCTTTTGTTTTTAATGCATTTTCTGAAAGATTTTTTTGAGTTCATTTATAGAGGGAGGAAACAAATGGCAGATTAAAGAAATATTTGTTTTTAACATGATCGCTGATGCCAGCGAAAAGGATGGAATTTTATAGTGGGGAGTGTGTAGAGATCCTGCAAAAACCTCCTCCATGAAGGAGATGTTTAGTCATCCTTCCTCCATGGAGGTATCGGAGCCTACAGCTAAATCCTTTACAAAACCTGTGGAGTTGGCTGAAGAGGACCCTGGACTCTTCAGAGAGTTCAAAGATCACTCTCTGAATCTCCCAGCGTCGATAAATCTCTACATAAAGTGGCGTCTTACTGGTCAAAGGTGTTGAAAGCACGGTTGCCACTATGATATCTGTGCATTTTTTTTACACTGAGTAAATAAACTTAAAAAAATTTTTTTCTGAATACCGTTGACCCCTGGCATGTGTGGGGGTTTGGGACCACAGACACAGAATAACTAAAAATCCATGAATACCTGAGACTCCCTAGTCGTAGTTTAGCAGTTCAAATACTAAATGCACCTTAATATTAATTAATATGCACAGTGGAAACCGTCTTGGCACTGCGGCACAAGCCAACATCAACGCTCATCCTTATTTCAGCTCTTGGGTGTACAGCCAATCAGTGCAGAGGAAAACGGATGGTGCTTCTGGATTGGCTGCTTTGCAAACGCTAGCCAATAGCATTTCACGTAGCACTGCAACTATGCATCGTACCTGACTGCATTTTCTTTTAGTTGTTTTACATTTTACTATGATAAAAGATCTATTTTAGTAATTTAAAGTTACCTTCCAGAGAAAAATCTGAATTGTTGAGTCTGTGGGGACGGAACCATGAACAGACGAGAGTCCACTGGATTTCAATCTGACATTATTCTGGTGCCATAAAAGATAAATGTATATCTAAAGACTTTTATTCATCTTTATCAGGGACAGCAGAACACCTCTTTGTGGTTGAGAAATAATGTCAACATTTTTGGAAAAGGTCATAATTGCTCTAATGTAAATTAAGTATTATAATATCTCAGTTTTTTTCTGTTGTAGAGATGGATTCGTTTTCCTCTGTGTTTTTATTAGGCAGACTAATGATTAAATATGCACATCGCGCCTCTTGGATTTTCTCATTTTAACTCTTGTTCCTGCCAGGAATGTAAATACATTCTTGTATTATTTTTCACCAACCAGTTGACTTTCTTCAGGATGTATCGGGTGTAAATTCCTCCTCGGCGTTAATCACTCTCTGTGGGAGAAAAGCGATCCAAGGTACATTTCCAAAGAAGAAACAACAAAGCACCCTTCCCTGCCACTCATGTGCAGTGCTCTCCAGTTTTGCTTTTGGGAAGTTTATTAAAGCCTGCTGAGTTTCAACTCTCAAGTGGGCCCATCTGCTGCCTAGGAAACGGCGATGAATACATTGGCAAGTGCTCCATTCATCCGTTCATGTTTGCTTTTTGGCACCTTTTGAAAATGAAGCAAAGCCCCTTTTTTTTTCTTAAGAGTATTTTCTTAACGTGCAGCAGGTGCACATTGAAGTGTCCCCGTTTTATCACTGGCAGCCGTGCGAGAGACGTTTAAGGAAAAAAAAAAAAAACATCTAAAAAATGTATCCCCTGGTTTTGGCTCCTGTCTCTCTTAGCGAGCAAAATGTTTCAGTATCATCAAGGTAGCAGCTGCTTACAACATCTGGTGGCAGCATTCATGGAGCTCAGTGGGACCTGAGCGGAGCGGCTGAGCCACGGACCCACCGGGGCTGGTGGGACGTTGCCCCCCTTAGGCGGGGAAAGCAGCACGGCGTAGACTGACAAGCACGTTAGCAGCACGGCAGCCCTCCAGGAGACGGGCAGGAACGTAACGGAGGAGCGAGGGAGGCACGTGGGGGGGGAGGGAATTTCACGCAAGGTTTCCGAATGGATGGAAGGTGATGCAAACTGGAGAAACCAGGTCGCTCTTTCGTTTCCGTTTTTATATACGGAACAGTCCAGACAAGCAAAGAGGTGATGGAGAGAGCGACCCAAAGAAAGTCTGAATGCGAAGTGTGACTGACGGGGGCTGCAAATGAAGATAAGGCAAGCAAAGAGACGGGCATATTTACACAGATATGTCTCATGAATTTCAAATATGTTGTCCTGAGGTATTAGTCTTCAACATCTGCCTGGCTAGCCAAGGGGGATCTCATGGACGTCTTTGTGGGAACTCTGCAGGAATGACAAACCCACTTTGTACCCAGCAGGAGGCGGCATCAATCAGAGCCTCCTCAAACATTCAGCTGGAGTTTCCTTTGGATGTTTGCTCAATCTTTTATGTCTGTCTGTGCCTTTTTCTCAGGTGTGTTTGCTCTTCTGCAAGCCTACGCCTTCCTGCAGTACCTGAAGGACAGACTCACCCGGCAGGAGTTTCAGACGCTCTTCTTCCTCGGGATCTCTCTCGCCGCCTGCATCGTCTTCCTCACAGTCATCTATCTCACCTACACAGGTTTGTTTTTAGTTTTTATTTAAACTCATTTTTCTTTTACCAAGTCATAGACGACATATTTCTCCTAAATATTAACTTTCACCTTTTGTGACGGCATTAAAATATTTTATTATTTATTTATTTAAAAAACAAATTAAGGAAGCTGTAACTTTAAGACGATTTGTATTAATTAGTTGTACTATTTGATGTTTGGTTTAAATCAGATTCGCTGGATAATAACTTTTGCATAATTTAATGACTAAAAGATAAAGAAGTTGTTTATAACTTGGCAGACACATTCAACCTCTGACTTAATTCAGACTTTAATTAAAAGCATCTCGTTTTTTTCCCCCCTGCTCATTAGTAACCCTCTGGGTTTTGTATAAACCTCAGTTAGCAGAGTGAGCTTATTGAACATGTTTATGCACCGAAACAATGAATTTTACTTCATTTCATTTTGCGCTCAAACCAACATGGCTTCATATTCTCTCCTATAATTATCCATTCCTCTAAACTTTAATCTGTTTTTACATTTGGCTTCCCATCCATCTTTTTATCCTACAGCCTCTGGTTACTATAAGTATAAATTCGGACCACAACACTCTTTTGTTTCAATACATCAAAAACTGACATCCTGGAAGTTTATTAAATGTTGAGCTGAGAGGAAGCTTGGCTTTTACTCTGCAATATCGCTCAGCATTTTAAGATGACACAATGTAAAAAAAGTTTTTGCAATATAACTTACTGTGGCTTTTTTTTTTGTAAAACTGCAGACCTAATGCATTACAGTAAAGTGACACTAAATAGGATCTTATTGCCAGACATTCAGTCCAACAATATGGATGGTTAAAAGAAACAAAATACTATAAATGAATCTTTTCCCCAGAATTTTATCTTCTGTGGTTAGGAAATTGTGTTGCGGTTGGAAGACTGTTTTTCTGAGCAGATTGATTTAAATTTTTCTTGATGGCGATCCAGACCTGGAATTTAAGCCATTTCAGAGCTTTATTCTGCTGCCATGCGCTCATCCATGGTGTGACCTGCAGGCCTTTCCAGTGGGCTGCTAATCGGCATTCTGTGTCTGAAAATTACACTTGGAAGGCAAAATAGTAAACAAGCATAAACAGATATGAATGTTGAAGCTTTGAATTTATTTTTTTGTGTGTGAATGATTTTGTGCCTGTGTTGGGCTTGTTTTTTTTTTTTTTTTTTTTTTTGCATCTGCAGCCAGCTGGGTGAACTTTGGGCATGTTGATGTTTTTCCCTAGACATTTCATCCCGCTGCGGCCATTATTCTGAACTTTAATATTCCTCTTCTCAGCGTACTTATTTGTTTCTTTCAGACTTTAAAGTTCAGATTTGCCTGACCTAGATCTCTAAATCGTCCCCTCGTCTTTCCTCGCCCAGCGGTGCTTCGCCCCGCAGCGCATCCTAAAGTGAAAGGGGAAAAAGTTCATTCCTTTAGGTATCTGTAAACTTTGTTTGCAAAGTTTCGCCGGCGACATTTTGAAATTCAACGTTCTGCTGCTCAGGATAATATATACAGCTTGTCCAGGACTTCTCTAAGTGCAGACAGATGGTAGAGCCCCGCGTACGGACTGCTGACTCGCATGCGTGCAGACGTTCTGTCACTTGGACACTGGCTTCGTCTGGTAAAACATTGCCGTCTGTCTGCCATCAGAATTTAGCAGCAGGACTCTGATTGTTGGGCGCAGGGTGCCAGTTCTTCACAGAGACACTACCTACTCAGTCCTGTCTATCAAACTTTCATTTCAGAGTCAGAAGACAGGATCAGTATTTTTTCCCCCCTCAGTATCTTTACCACTGAACCAAGTATTGATTGGGTAAATCAGTACTATCCTATGAATCACCTCGTAGTGTGTCTCCATTTATATTCTTGCTGCTTTTCTTCATCTCTTTTCTTGCCTGGTTTGGTTTACAGCTCTGTAACGTCTCATTTAGAGAGCTCTCCATCTTGTTTTAACCACCTGAGTGATAGAACGGCTACAGGACCGAGTATGACTGAATGTTGGTGGAGAGATTTCAAGAACCTTAGAGAGAGAGAGAGTGTGTGTGTGTGCGTGTGTGCGTGTGTGTGTGTGTGTGTACCGTTTTTAATTTGTTTGGGCTCCAGCAACCCTCAGGAAACTGAGCTGGAATATATTCTAGATCAAAGCCTAACTAAGAGACATTTGTAAATGCCCTGTGAGGTCTAATTTGCAACTTAAATGGTTTCACTTACATTTAAAAACAAGTCAATTCCACTAATTAAATAGCATCAATAAAATATATTTTGAGCACAGATGTGTTTTCTGCTGAAGGATTTCTTGTCTTTAGACTCCAATTGCTTTGTGCATTTCGCCACTACTGGACTTGCTATTCATTGTTTTACTTTAGTCGATATTTGAGTTTTATTTTATTTAATTTTTTAACAACAAAGATGCTTTCAGAAAGCTGAATTCTAATAATTTATGCAAATAGCAAGTTGGCTCGTTTGGTGCCAGAGGAAAACCTCAACTGGAAGAGACAACTTTCTGCTTAAAACATTTTGCACACAAGAGCTTTAAATTCAATTTAATGTTATAATTTTACAATGCAGTTCTTTTTACATAGGTAAAAATACTTGGATTTCTCAATTGAAAAACTGCTTAATTGTATGTTCTTTTTGACATAGACTAGATTATTTTGAAACAATTTCTAGTTCCTAAGATTTAGCTTCACTGGATGGTGCAAATTTTAAATTCCTTCCCAGTTTTATTTCCAGATTTAATCCCATCCTCAAACACAGATATTTTTTTTAAATACTATTAAACTCCATGATTGTTTGCTTAGGAGAAACTGGACCTTTTTAATTCACTTAATTATAAATGATTTTGTTGAGTCCCAGGTCATGTTGGTATTATTGTTAATTAGAAAGCAGAGACGGCAGAGTCCTTGATGCTGAACCACGTATCAGATCTCTGCCTCCGGTCGTTTATCTGTAGGGCAGAGCTAAATGAATGGGAGGAATGCCTTAATGAAAAGAAGCCAGTTTATAAATAACACTGTTCTTCTTTTAAAATTAAAAAGGATCCGATGGCCGATACAAGGTGGTGTGTTTGTCATTTTAGTTTGACCCACATTTATTTAGTGAAAAGCCTCCATCCTGTCGTTTCCAAGGTGTTCGTTACTCTGACAGAGAACCGTTTTGCCCAATTGTTCTGCTTTGACTAAAACGAGTAAGTGGTTTTATTGTGAAGTTATTTATTTCAGATTATATGTGTATTGTCTGATTTTTTTTTTGCTTAAATGTTTTCATAGTTTTAAGAACTTTTTATTGTTCCACTTCAGATTAATGTAGTTCAGCAAACCTTCCACACTCCTACAAACAGTCCTTGCATGTCAAGTGTTTAATAAAAAGCATGAACACAGAAGCATTACCTTATTGATCGTCTCTCCTGTCTGCAGGATACATCGCTCCATGGAGCGGCCGCTTCTACTCGCTCTGGGACACCGGGTAAGCTCTGCTGACCTTCACACTCCCGCCTGTCGATGGAACACTTGTCCAGTCGACCGCGTGTGTGCATTTGTTTTCAGAGACGGCTCTAAAGCCGCCCTGCAATCGTCCCTGGAGGGAAAACGCTGCTGATCCAGGCCGTGTTGAGCAATGCACGAGGCACTTCCTGTTCTCCAGATGCTCTGCAAAGTGTGGGATTTTTCCAGCACAAGCGATCAATCCCTTAAACTCTAACTTGCTGAGATAAGCAGAACGGGGATATTTTGTTTGCCTAGTTTCTCAGCTTTTTCAAGCTGCAACATCAAATCGTTTGAATATTTAAAATATTTTTAGACACAGCTCAGAGGCCCCACTGCACTGAACCCCATTGAAAACATCCTGGTTATTCCACCAATTACTGATTTCTGAACCCTTCCTGAGTTAAAACATTAGTATTGTTGTTTCTGAATTAATGTGAACTTGTTTTCACATTAAAGCACTGCATCTTTTTCCTTATTTTGACAATTTCTGACTTTCTGTAAAATAAATACTAAATTTTTGCTTGGAATTTTAGAGACATTTTGTCTGTAGTTCATAGAATAAAAGAAATGTTAATTTTACTCAAACGTTAAACCTATAAAAAGTAAAATCAGATAACTGATGAGTTTGCAGTGGTCTCTTAATTCCTTCCAGAGCTGAATATATTTATATAATTTCTCTAATTGGTGTTTTACCTCACAGCAGAGAGTTTATTCCACATTTTTAAAGCCTCGTTTCAGGCCTAGTCAAAGCCGATTTAAGTTTCGGCTTTGACTAGACTGATGAAAAATTGTCACTTTGTTTATAAAACCATTCAGAGGGGATTATCTGGAGTGATTTTGGATCATTATCCAGCTCTCTAAACCAGGTGAGCTTCAGTTTAAGGTCACAAACTAATGGCTGGAGATTCTCCCTCAGGGTTTTCAGATTGAAAGCAGTTCCATTAATTACATGTCAATTATGCAGCAAAACGGCACCAGAGCATCATACCACTACCACCGTGTTTGACGGTAGGATGAGGTCCTTTTTCTAATGTTGGTATTAGATGTGATGCCCATCTACCAGAAAGACCCACTTTCTGGTAGATGGGTCTTTAATCATCTCTCAGAATATTTCTCCAAAAGTCTTGGGAATCATAAAGATCTTTTTGACCAATGTGAGACAGACCGTTGTGATCATGTCAGCCAGCAGTGGTTGTCGCTGTGGATCTGTCCCGTGGACGAGCTTTGCCCGGCCTCCTTCCTGTCATTGAATCGTGTTGACTGAACTTCACCGAGGGAAGAGAGGCCTGCAATTCTTCAGATGCTCTGCATTATTTTGTGACCTCCTGGATGAGTTGTCAATGCGCTCTGTGTGTAAGATTTGCATCCTGGAACTCCAGGGAATGTTCACAATTCAGCGTTTCATGTTTTCTCCATTTGTGGATAATGAGTCGCTGGTTCACTGCAGTCCCAGAGCTACAGAAATGGCTCTGTAACCCTTTCCGGACTGTTTCTCATCTTCTCTTGAAGATTAAGACATGATGTGTTGCTTTTTGAGATCTTTTATCCTCTTTCATTTAAGAGACTGTTTAAGTGACTCTTCATTTCTTCAGGTCTGATGATAGTCGAGCCTCGATGTGGCTTAGAAAGAAAGTGATTTAAAAAGGTGGTTAATCAGGTGTTTTATAATTTAAAAAGCAACTTTCTTATATAGAGCCAGATTAGTTTCTAAATGTAAACTGCACTTTGCATTTATTCAAGGTTTCTTTATTTGATATTAGAATTTATTTGATTTTCAAAAATTAAATCAAAATGGCAAAAACAGAAATAATCTCTAAGGTATAAATACTTTGTTCTTTTCACTGTGTACACAAAAGCTATTGACTTTTATGTTCATTTTTGGCTGAATAAAATCTGAAATTATAGTTAATTAAATCAGATTTACCATAATCACATTAAATCTGATTAGTATACAGAGCAGAAATGATTCTTCATATTTTATCCCTGATCAGAAGATCTGTTGTGTAATTGTTCTGTTTGCAGGGAGAGCACATAAATTACAACCTGTCTGTGTCTTCCTCCTCTCACGTCTCCATAGTTACGCCAAGATCCACATCCCCATCATTGCATCGGTGTCGGAGCACCAGCCGACCACGTGGGTGTCCTTCTTCTTTGATCTCCACATCCTGGTCTGCACCTTCCCAGCAGGCCTTTGGTTTTGCATCAAGAACATCAATGATGAACGCGTGTTTGGTGCGAAGATTTTTTAAATTATTTTTAAATATTTACATCATAAAACCTTAATTTGACCTGTTGCGTTGAGCTGCATGTGAGCTGTCTGTGTTTTTTTTTTTTTTTTTTTTTTTTTTTTTTTTTTCCTTTTGTTTTTTTTCTCCTTTTTTTTTTTTTTCAAAATTTTTTTTTTTTTTTTTAAAAAACGGG